TTTTGACTTTTGAAATTTTGAAATTTTGACTTTTGAAATTTTGAAATTTTGACTTTTGAAATTTTGAAATTTTGACTTTTGAAATTTTGAAATTTTGACTTTTGAAATTTTGAAATGTTGACTTTTGAAATTTTGAAATTTTGACTTTTGAAATTTCAAATCAAATCAAATCATTTTATTCGTCATCATGGGTACAATAAAGATGATAACATTTATTTTATGGTCGCCATGACGTACCATCAAGGCATACGAATTATACTATTATTATTAATTATACTTGTCCAATACTTCCAAATAATAATAATAAAATAACACTAATAATTATCATTAAATAGTCATAAACCACTGATTATAGGCTTCCACCTTCACAGGACTAAGTCTTAAAATCTACAACAGTTAGGACATCAAAACAAAAATAATTTAATTAAGATAATAATCAATGTAAATAAATCAATGTGATACAGTCACGTTCGTCTCAATAATCAATTAATGTGAAATTAGTTAGCAAAATTCCTTTAATGTATAAAATGATTTTTCAATTAAATACTCAAATAATGTGCGTTTAAATTCAGCGAAATTTTCATTTTGCCTTACCTGTAAATGCAATTTATTATAGATTTTTGGTGCCATTACAATTATACTCTTCTCAAATAGTGACGTGTTAAATTTGGAAATTTTGACTTTTGAAATTTTGACTTTTGAAATATTGACTTTTGAAATTTTGACTTTTGAAATTTTGACTTTTGAAATTTTTCTTTTTTTTAATAATACCAAGTGACCGGACAAACAATTCGTGCGCCTGGTGGTAAGCGACACGCCTATCCATAGCAGTTGCAGTGCCATTCAGAGCTTTAAGTTTCAAAGACCTGAGGGGCACTGTCATTGCGCTCGTCACCCTGTGACATAAGTTGACAAGTCCCACGTGCCTGTAATTTCATTTCGGAACAGCAAAGTAGGAATGACGAAGAAAAAGAATTAGAGAGCAACATCAGCTGAATGTTGTTCTCTAATTATTTTTCTTCGTCGAACTCTGTGAGTAGAGCTCCTTGTGAAAGAGTTCGTCCAGGGAAGTGCATCCATCACCTCGAGACATAAGTTGACATGTTACATGTGCCTGTAATTTCATCAGCTACCTTGTGTTTGGGCTCAAATGTTTTGTTTCGAATATAACTTCCATATGCGTTTCAATTATAATTGAAGAGACCGCTGTAACGAACGCAGCGAAAGCGGCCAGAGAAACTTCTGAGAATGATTTTTTTTAAATGAAGGTTTTAATTCAGTGTTTAAACTTAATTACTGACATTCTCTATATTGTATAGAATATATACTTATTATATAGCCTTTAAGAAAGTACAAATCGATACCAATGAACACTACACTATTTATTTACTAATATTATGCTCCCCGAATTTTGTAAAAAAAAAACAAAATAAAAACAGAACAGATCCAAAAATTAAGTTGACGTAGACATTGAAGGTATCGAAATACAAAATGACACGAACCCCGAGTCTGGTTGGTGAAATCTTTATTATTTAATAAGATGTCCAAAAATAACTTTTTCGATATCTTCCTTGTGAGACTTCTAAGGTTCCAATTCTGCGATTAGTTTCAGCAACACAACTGTAACTAGTTGTGTATATCCAGGCAATCAATATCCATCTGCGTTAGTGAGTTATTTTCTAATACGATGATTTGAAAAAGACACAGTAACAAAGTATTAGCAGCAGTAAGGATCCTTGTGAAAGAGTTCGTCCAGGGAAGTAATGCCACTATACCTGTTTCTGCCGTCGTCATATGACCATTATAGAGTTCCGGTTTTAAAGGTTAAGAGAGCTGGTGAATTTACAGGCACATCGGACTTGTTAACTCGTGTTTCAATGTGACGGGGCAGCGACGTCCTCAGATCTTCAACTGCTATAGGTATTGATTACCGTTAGGACTGTAATGTACCACTTTTTTCGTCTCATCATTTGATATCATGATAAAATCAGCTTGAAGTACAGATTTATGTCCTCTTTATTCTTTTATGTCGATATTTTCACTTAAGAGCAAGTTCTATAAAAATAAAAGCAGAATTCCGTCCCAATTAAAAATTTCCACTGAGATGGCATCAATAGCGAAATAAATTTGTGAGTCTACTGGAAAATTGGACGCTACAAATTAGAGCAGTGACAGAAATAACTTTTAATTTTTTTGAGTATTGTATTGTTTTTAATATTGAACTATGGATATTCACTGCCTTGGGATATTTTTGCTCTAGTTGAATACTCAATTAAAGCAAAAATATTCTTGCTTTTGTTGAGTATCCAACACTTTTTACTGCATTCCATGTTTCATTATAATTATATTCTAATGTTATATGACATCGTAAAAACTTCAGAATGTACACACAATAACATTTTCTTAATTAAAACTGTTCCGACGACTTGAAATCTGGGAAATTTTAGAGCACCAAGTTTTACGACGATAATCCTGAAGTTTAGACAGTACATTAATATTGTACACACAGAAAATAAATGTCACATGCAAGAAATAAATTTTAATTCCTGAGAGCCGACAGTGGGATTTAATTTCCATAATAATTATCCATAACAGTTATTATTGTCTAGTTTATGTTTATCATTGTAACAACATTATCATATTGTAACCAAATTAACAACTAAGGACCTAGGACCGATGCCACACGATGCGCTGCGTCGGCGGCGGCGTTGCGACGTCTGAGCGGTGACGCTTGCGTTGTACTACATAATATAAATTGGAACTACATGCTACATGGTGCATTGAAGCCGACGCGTGGCGACGAAACACGTGCACATCGGACAAGAGGCCAAGAGACGAAGCGGGAGAAGTTCTGCGGTGAATAAGTAAGCGGCGTTACGCTACGTCAATGCATTCCTCGTGTGGCACTCGGTGCGTTGAAAGCACCTGCGCAACAACGTAAGTTATTAAAGTAGAAACTAGATCTTGAAAAGAAACAAGTGAACAAAATTCAGTTTTCATAATTTATTTTCCATTCCATCAAATAGTTCATATACATGGTAGTTCGTTACTACATAGTAAAATTACATATTAAAAAAACCAATCAGTACATTCTTTACAAGTAAAATGTCAACCTTTAGAGTGGTGACTGAAACGCGATACTGTTGCTTATATTGAATCATTATGTACAAAAAAAGAACTGTATAGGTTTATGGAAATTTGATTTTGTACATGGTAAATTTAAGAGCGAAATTAATAAATTTCATTTATTTACCGTAAATAAATACGATAAATAAATTACTCACTTAATTAATTTAAAACGTGCATTGCATTTGCATGGCGTTTGTATCGCGTTTGTATCGCGTTTGTATCGCGTTTGCATCGCGTTTGCAATGCTGCTTAAAGTCGCGCGTGTGTGTGTAAAGGTAGACGATTAGCGACTGCATCGCTATTGCATCGTTGTGAAATGTCGCCGTCATGTAATGTGAAATCGCTCTTGTACGCGTAATAGAATATGTGAATAAATTAGCTAGCAAACTAGCTTTGCCCCATCGTTTTTGGTGGGTTAAAAAATTGCACACAGCATTTACATTTACATACGGCATTTTGCTTTGGGGTAATGCCGCCGATATCAATAGAATCTTTGTCCTGCAGAAACGTGCAGTTAGGGCAATTTACAATCTGGGCCCCAAAGTATCTTTGAGAGATAAGTTTAAGGAAATTAACATTCTTACACTAGCCTCACAATACATTTATGAAAATATAATTTATGTTAAAAGGAATAGTAATTTCTTTATGAAAAATAGTGACAGACATAACATTAATACGAGGAATAAAAATAAACTAGCTTTTCTTGATAGTCGTCTTCACAAAGTCAAACAATCATTTAAGGGGCAATGTATACGCTTCTATAACAAGATTCCGGTTGATATACAAAATTTGCCTTTCACGAGGTTTAAAACTATAGTGAAACAAAAACTTTATACTAAAGGTTATTATACAACTTCTGCGTACTTGGATGACAAAAATCCGTGGTAGTAACCCGTTTAGCTCATGGAGGTAGTCTCAATCTGATGTTTCAAATAAAAAAATATTGTAAATGTTATTTACAAAGAGCAACCCCTAGAGTTTCTTGCTCATTCTTCTCAGGGGAATCTGCCTTACGAATGAGCGGTAGAGTTTAACCATTGTGACGATTTCAAGTGTAATAATGCTTACCTATGAAATAAAGATTATTTTGATTTTGATTTTGATTTTGCAATTTTATTTGTTAACGCTGGTAGGTAGATGCTTGGTTGGTTGACATGAGAAAGAAATTTAAATACTTTTAAATTTTATTATTGTTCAATTCTTAGGAAGAAATGATATAATTAGGTGTTAATTTAACCCTAATTTAAAAAATATAATCAAGTGTAAAAGTTAATTCCAATAGTTTACGTACTTAAAATATGACAATAATCAACACAAGTACTAATTAAATTCGTTACGCTAACAATTATAATGAGCGCTCAGATTTTTCTTTTTATATAATATAAGTGCACATTTGACCTCCATCTCACCCGATAGAAAATGACGATGAGGTCGACGATGGAGCATGCACACCTAAAATAATGCCTATTCACTCTCGCCTTAAAAAGGCCCAAGTTATAACGTTCAAGGAATATGTCTGCAGGCAGGGAATTCCACTCCATAGCCTTTCGCCATATAAACGTGGAAGCGTAACGCTTCGTGCGAATCCTTGGAATATCCACAACATAGGGGTGGAACCCAAGCCCACCTAGCCTAGTCCCCCGGTGATGGAAAAGGGAAGGCGGAATCAAATCGTGTAATTCCATCCGCACACTCTCCGTTATATAACCTGGAAAATACCGACAAGCAGGCAACTTTACGGCGGTGTTCAAGGCTTCGCAGCTTCGCCTCCACTAATTCTGAGTCACCAATAAGTCTTTTGCCACGATTGTTAATTGAATCCAAAGTGGCCAGTTAATATGTAGCAGAGCCATCCCAAAGGTGGCAGCAGTACTCCATGCACGACCGGACTTGTGCTTGGTACAGCGGAAGCAACTGTCCCGGTGTAAAATAACACCTCACCCTGGAAAGGATTTCCTTGCTGCATTTTTGGCCTTGGATTCAATGTGTCTGCCGAAGTTCAAATTGGACGACAGGTCCATTCTAAGTAGCTGGAGGCAGTCGGCTATCGGTAAGGATATATCACGAAAAGTCGGAGTCAGCTCGAAGGGATTCCGTTTTGTGGAGAATAAACACGCCTAAGTTTTGATAGCGTTAAATTTGACAAGTTTGGCATTGCCCCAATCGGAGACTGCTTGGAGTGTCAAATCCAAACGGTTAACCATGGACTCTCGACAATAATGGATTTCCTCTCCGCTGACCCTTGCATTGGTCAAGTACCTATCTACAACTGTGCTATCATCAGCATACGCAAAGGTACCTGGAATTAACATGTCATTGATATGCAGCAGAAAGAGAGTTGCAGACAGTACGGAACCCTGAGGAACTCTATATATCATCTATCGTCATATTTTCAGAAGTGTAGCCTTATAAGACCACTCGAATCGAACGCTCACTCAAGAAATCCGAGATCCAATTGCAAAGGTCAGTGGGAAGCCCATAAGAGGGAAGCTTAGTTAAAAGGCTTGCGTGCCAGACCCTGTCAAAGGTTTTAGAAATGTCCAAAGATACTGCAAGTGCTTCGCCTTGCTTTTCTATAGCCTCGCTCCATATGTGACAGGCATACAAAAGAAGATCCCCAGTAGATCGCACTCGTCGGAATCCGTACTGGCGATCACTGAGGAGGTCGTTGTCTTGAAGGTATGACAGGAGACGGTTGTTGATTACGCGTTCCATAGTTTTGCAGAGTATGGAAGTGACTGAGATAGGTCTATAGTTGACAGGGTCAGCTCTGCTTACCTTTTTCGCCACAGGTTGCACGTTTGTAAGCTTCCACGACCTGGGAACTACACCAGTCTCAAGTAAGAGGCGGTACAGGCGTGTGAGAACAGGAGACAACTCAGGCGCTCAGTTACGCAGGACTATTGCTGGAATTTCATCTGGCCCGCTAGCTTTATTTACGTCTAGATTTCGCAGAGATTGCACACAATTTTTATAAAAAACGACATAAAAAGTATTAACAGGTCGTTCCCCTAAGAGTTTCCAACCAAAATTCAATTGAAGTAAGTGGCGACTAAGTATTTACATAAAATGGGCGGGTAGTTGTGCCGCCAAAAGAAACAGTTGACAATAAAAAGATAGTGGCAAGCACAGTGTGTTTACTTTTATCGTATCGATAGTGTTTTGTGCAGTAACAATTACTAACATTTACTGTCACTTTGTCAGATTTTTTCTAAGCGCATATACCTTATTCGACAAGCGATATCTTTAATCTTCTGTGTTGGCAAATATATTCTAAAATGCATTTTTTTTTTTCATAATATCAAGTGACGAGACTACAGGTCGTGCGCCTGGTGGTAAGCGACACGCCTGTCCATAAGAGTTGTAGTGTTACTCAGAGCTTTAAATTGTAACGATATGAGGGGCACTGTCACTGCACTCGTCATCCTGAGAGATAAATTTCCATGTGCCTTTAATTTGACTGGCACCTGTGTACTGTACTGTGACTGGTACTGTCTAGTGTCGTAATGCGGGAACGGCGGGATGCAGTGTATTTTATGTTGCCTAATGTCTATGGTACATTATGTGCATACACTACAACACCCATATGCTTCAAACTGGCACGTAGTAATGCTCACTTGTTTGGCGGAAGAAACTGGTAAGGTGACAGTACTTCCCTGAACGAACTCTTTCACAAGGAGCTCTACCGCTACTAACGCTGGGATATACCTACTAAAACGAGTAACACGACATAAACTTTATTTTCTACAATATAAAGTTGCATATCTCTAAACAAAAAATGAGTAAGATTCGCCAAGCGGAGCCTTTATTCTTTTCAATTCACAAAATGTTATCTTTATTCAGTAGAGAATATGTTCTTATAATTATTTGCAAGTGTGCGCTACGTAGCGCGGCGTTGCTTGCTGAATTTAACAAAATGTAATCTTATTTTATGGAAGATAAAATTTATGTCGTTTTAAAGCATCAGGCTGCGGCAATTTGAGGCGACCTTAAGGCGTAGAACAATAGTAATTTTTACAATAGGCATGCTGTAAAACTTTTTAAGTTACTCAAAGATAGCTTTATAGTAAATAGATTACTCGTATGTTGATAATATTGTCAATTTTATTTGAAACCCGTCCGCCATTGCGTGAATCTCTTTACACAATACATTGATACTTCTAGAAGATAAATAATACCAGTGTTCTTTTTACGATAACTTTTTGAAATAAAAACAGAAACATTCCATTTCAAAAGTAATGAAGTTATTAACTTCAAAAGTTCAAAACAATATTTGTGTTTGATCCGCCTCCGCCGGCTCAGTCAAGATTTTTTTAAGTTCAACCACTCGAATGTTGAGGACTGAACACAGAAAATGGAAAGTGAGCTTTAAGAAAAAGATTTACTCGTCACATTGTTAGAATTAATCACACTAATGTACTTTCTACAGGACTTAGCACACAACGCCCCAGACTATGCCCCAATACCGTATGAAGTTCATAGTCCCAATGGACAGTTAACGTTTTCGACCATTTTCATTTTTTTTTCTTTTATGATACCAAATG